TTTCGATTAGTATAAAAGTGCCTTCTCCCCCAAGGGTGGTGGGCGGGTATAGTATACTATTAAAAATCCAGCGCAAAAATAAATGGGTGTTTGAAGGTTAGTGCGAAAAATAAATAAGAAAAAGAACAACTTGACGGACGAATACGCATCGGGGAAAATAAAAAAAAGTTAGTTTATATGCATAATAGTAGCGTTGGAAATGTATCTTATGCTAAAAAAATTAAATATAAAAATAAACTGTCTTGTAACAGCTCAACATTACCTTATGCAGTCACCCGCTCTTCCCTGTTTTGCTTACCAGGCAGACTGAGAAATATTCAAAGACGCAGTAGAATTTAAAATCACAAGTGCAATGTGCAATGTGCAATTCGTATTATTATATTCTTCCATCGTTCAGTCTATTTTTTAGCCAAGTTACGTGAGGAGCAGACAAACGTTTTAAAAAAGTACATTACTCTGGTAGGAAAACTTTGTAATTATTATTATATATTAAGTCATTTGTCTCATGTAGACACAGCGAAGGATGATGTTGAAGCAGATGACGAATTAAACCTTTCCGGCGATGTGAAGAATATTTATTTGCATTTTATGCAAGTGTTCAAAAAACTCGAACAATCTCAGTTTAAAACAAAAATAATTAGTAAACTTGAACGACGTTGGGGGAACATGGGCACAACCCTTACCACTTCTTTCCTTTATTCTCTATCTCAAATTATTTTAATCAAACTCAATTATATATTAACTTTACTCATATGGGGACGTAGTTGTGTTATTATCATAAGCCATGGTTTAATGATGAACCAAACTGTTTACTATTAGAATTTGAAGAATATAAACAACAAAAGTACCCGTTTACAGAAAAAACGTTTAAGGGCCTTGGTAGTCCTACAACTCTAGAGTTAAGCTGCCTTGCATGTCATATGTACTACCACGGCTTCAGTGGAGAGACTATTTTCCACAATGGTTTTGCATTCCCCCACAACGGACACAATAGATTAGGGACTATAAATTATTACAATTATGATATCCCATTTGTTAATTGTGATGTTAATTTACTTTTATTATTAGCATAATAATAAAAATGTGCTGGCAATGAGCCAGCTCCATGCAGAAATATTACCATCGAACCGGACACCTCAACCCTATTACAAGAGCCAACTAGAGTTCAAGCAAATACCTCATCCAACCAGTCACTTGAGGAGACAGATATCTTGATAGCTGATATTGCCTGGAATCTGGCCGGAGTCCCTCTCTATAAATAAGTATACGTTTAGTCAATTTACTTTAAAAAATCCCGTTCATTAAATAGTGACTATTGAAACACGGAAACTCAACCAGAATAAATTGCGTAAATTTCCAAGCATAATATTTCTGACTTGTTCTCGTTGAAGGCAAATGTACTACTGTATTACCATACCGTATCTATACTCCTATAAAGTCGTTAATTGGACGATATTAACGCAAATACACAAATAACGAAGCCATTCTTTGTCTGCTTACATTCGATTTGTATGACATTACGAAAACAAGCATGCTTACCTTTAGACTGCCTTGTAATCTGAATGAAAACATACGTCACAACTCATTCCATAACGTAGCTGAGTTGGTAAAACAGCTGAATAGGTTGTCTCAATGCGATGTGTATGAGGCTTGGATGTAAAGTTTACGCAATAAAGTATTTGCAAACCATTTTTTACGAGAGTTTCTCCTTGGCCCAATATGCTTGCAGTACTGTTGAGTTTCTGTTAAACGGAATAATGATACAATAACTACTGAATAGAAAGACGTGGTAAGCTGCTCACCATCATCTGCCATAATGGAACCAAAAAAGAAGATGGTTTAAATCATATTTCTGCAAAGATATCCTGCAGTCAATCTCAATGAATCATATATGTGTCATCGTATCCATCTGAAGTAATTCATTAATTATCATAATCTATTTCAAATTTCAAAGTATACATCAAAACTTGAACAAACCCTCGTATAACTCAATTTTCCCTAAAAAAATACCTGTTAGAATATTGAAACGGCGGATTTTAACCACTCTGGACACATAACCGAGCCTTAATTCTTTCTGCCAAACAACGCTTCGGGTAATTTTTCTGCTGTAATCGAATCAGCCAAATCCAACTTGCTGACCGGTAGGATAATCGAGCTTCTTGAATATCCATCATGGTTACCTGATGAATTGATTCTTGCCTTAATAAGGTACAGAGTAATAAATAATAATTAAAACCGGGTAGTGAAGTCAACACTTGAGCAAAAAGCCATCGTGAAATAGGGATAACGACAATCTCGGTCGATGGACACTCACTCCGAATATCATTATTTTATTTCCGAGAGCGCGCTGGGTCACAAAATCCTATGAACCGCTATAGTTGTCATCGTAAATATTGGTCATCTGCAATATTATATACTGTACTATTGGTCAATCTTGCACATTTTAATCACGTGTGTAGGATATATCACGGATCATTGTTACTGGCGCGTGAAGGAAATTCAGCCTTGCGATTCAAATCTGGCCAACATAGACTGCTATATCACATTACATAAATAATCTTTGTTAAATACCCGCTTGTGGTTGGATATTGCTGTATTAACAACGTGTGAATTCGCTACGGGCCAGAACATTATGTTGATTGTTGTTTGTTGTTATAGCCAGTCAAACTTATATGTTAATACGACAAGTTTTCATAAAAGCGGATAATAAACCGATATTACCGTTATAAAATAATAAACGCAACTTGCGCCCAGTCTTGAGCCGAAGCAACAAAGTATTATCACTTACTTCAGTTACAGTTAACTCAAGAATTTGAACTAGTTGTTTTCAGAGTTCCGGAACCGCCATATTCCGTAAAGGTCGGATATATGGTAATACTAATTCTGTATATAATAATATAGTGTAGACTTGTTGTCTGCTTTCAGGATATCAGTTTGGATATGATTTTATATTCCAAAATATTGTCTATGGTGTAATATAAATTAAACTTATATAGCCAGCTGAGTTCTCTGAATTAGATGATACACCTCAACGAGCTGCATAAAGTAATCAGATACAATGTACAATTCCCGGACAAAAATGACTGAATTTCGCTAACCGAACGTTAAATGTAAATTAAAATGTTTACTAACACAACCGACCTGCTATGGTGCGATAAGTAAACTTATTCACAATATCTACATTCATACTTTTATAACTTTAAGCAACTTTGTATAAATATTGAGTGAAAAACAAAGGCTTACGTTAAATAAAATTTTCGGAAATTTACGTTAAAACTTTTTTTATAAAAATGCCAATTGCAATGCGTCCTTGCGTCATTAAGTAAATTAATTTTCATAATTTAAAATATGTAAATTCAACATTGAGATAATTTGGTTTTGAGTTTATTAGATGATAATCGGAAACGTAAAGTTTGAGTTGCAACTATATATTGTAATATACTTGTCAGAATTTAGTCATATTTCACAATTCGACGCATTTTTTTGTTGCTAGTAACTTTTACTAATACTGTTTGCTTGCTAACAAACGAGTTAAAAAGCTTTTCATAAGTAACTCAATAAAACGCATAATTTGTTACCAACGCGAAAATTTGTACTATCTGCATTTAATAAAATTTAATACTGTCTTATGATATAGCTGCTCATTCAATAAACTCGAAACCGAATTGTCTCAATTTTAATTTTACATATTTTAAATGTAAAAATTAATTTTACTTAATGACGCGAGGACTTATTGCAATTAGCTTTTTTATAACAAAAGTTTTTGACGTAAATTTTCGAAAATCTTTATCCTTGATGTAAGCCTTTGTTTTTCACTCAATATTTATACAAAGTTGCTTAAAGTTATAAAAGTATGAATGTAGATATTGTGAATAAGTTTACTTATCGCACCATAGCAGGTCGGTTGTGTTAGCAAAAATTTAATTTACATATGATCTGGGCTACTTTCAACGTTCGATCAGCGAAATTTCGTGGTGATCGGTCATTCTGTCCGGGCACTGTATGTTGCTAATAGCCGACGTAGTTATATGATCAAAGCAAAATGTACAAGTGTCCTTACAAGTTGTTTAAGTTTAAACTGACAAATATGATAGTGGATACGTAGATTACGTAATTTACATACAACAGTTGATGTTAGGCTGTCAAAGCTTTGTTTCGCTCAACATAGCCTTTTGTTGCCAAGATTTGATTACAAAATATTTAACTACAATGCGAAATTTGTCAATAGTCTAGCATTAAATTCTGCTCTAAATTATGAAATAATTAGTAGGATCGGTAATAACAACGTAAGCTAATTACGGAGAATATTTGTGACCTTTAAATTTATGGCAAAAATCTCTGTTTAGAAAATATTAATTAAAACATAAAGCTCTTTATTACTTTAATCGTTCATAGCACAACAATCGTAGTTTTTTGACGGAACTGTGTACATACTAAATTTTTGTCCATATTATAGAAATGTTGAGCCTACTAAATTGTGAAAGATAAAGCTCCCAATGCCAGTCGTGAAAAATTGTTTTTCTCGCTCGTTATAATAGCCGCTTGAGAACATATCGGTGAAGTAAGTTTTTGATTATATAACAGAATAATCAAGTAAATTTCTTTGATTCTGTTAACTGCGGTGAAAAAAGAGTTTTACGCTTTAAACCGTAATAACGCATCAAAGAATATCGAATAATTAGTTATTATAAAAACAGTTTTAATTATAAGAACAAAATTAAATGCTAATAATATTGATTACTGAGTAAAATTACGATTTTTGTCTATATCTACTTACTATTTCACTAAAATAAGTATTAGATTTGATGGAAAATTACTTAAAGATATGATATGGTATTATATTTCGATATATCAGCCAAACTCAAACTATTTATAGTTTGGTACCAAATCCGCTTCTAATGGTCGAATTTTTGCGCCTTTGTAAGCGTCGAATAATCAATACTGTGAAAAACAAATATTCTTTTGTCCACAGACGCTTGCATATCTCCATCTTTAGATGCATGTCGTCAAAGAAACAAAGACGCATATATAACATTCAAAAGTGATTCAACCATTCGAACAATAAGAAGTATAAAATGCTTTATTGTTACATTAATTATTTGAACTTGCAAATAAGTTTAACAAAACAGCACAACGTCAAAAAATTAAAGACCAATAAACGGATAAATTATCGGGTTAATAAAATTAATTATGATTAAAATTAAAAATTGTAAAAAAAAAAACATTTCAATAAATTAAGAGTCCAAGAATTTGGCAAGGTGCTGAACACTCTCATCCAATTTTTTCGTGTTTGTATGCAAGTTGTGGACGAGTTTGCCGTAACGGTTGTTCCAAAGCGGGAGAAACTTTGGTACTTTTGTACCATCCTTTGCTGCGGCTCCTGGTAGTTCCTTGTTAAGTTGGTCGATCTCGGAGGTGTAGGATTCGTGAATTTTCTTCAATTGTACCACCTTTGCAGCATATAAATCCTTGAATCGCACTCCGAGCAAGTGCACGTTTGGTCCAACAGGAGCTGCTTGGACCACAGCAACGAGAAGTACCGAAAAGAGAACCAAGATTACTGTAAGTTTCATGTTGCGTGTATGTGTGTGCGTTTGACGGTGTGTTTTGACGTATTTGCAAGAGAGAGCACAGCTCTTATCAAGTGAATTTAGCAGAATGGTTTTTGCTAGGTCAAGCTTGTGGGGGCATTTATATCTTTGATACTCTTATACTACGATGAAACAAACATAATAAAAGAGCGTGCTAGTGCTTTTGCCTTCCGCATGTTATCATGGGGTTTCAGACATTCGGAATTCTGTATCGTCCATATATGGAGATTTGCCGATCATATGGGATTTGACAATAGAGATGATCGACACAATCTCGGACCGAACGTGAAAATCGACAAAAAGCATCAAAGCACGCTAAAAGGTGTTGATTAATCGGTTTTGACTCTTCCATTAGGAACAAGTAAATCTATTAACTTTAAAGAGTATACGCCTCTTTTTTGTCCATATTAACAGATTTTTAAGTAAAATGTGACTCGAAAGATACGCATATATTATAATAATATATATATGAGACATTGTGAACCCACCCCCGCATGCTGATTATTCTTTTTTTCAAATTTTCGATATTGTGCCCCGAGATTTACATTCTTTTTATCGGCATCGCATATCATTAGTTTCCTTTTGTATTCGTTATTATGTGTTGATGTTCTTTCAGGAATAGCTGGCGCGGAATACTTATTAAAGTTTGTGCTATATTAGTACTCCCTGCATAACAGAACGAACACTTTAACTTTAAAATAGGATAACTTTTTAGAAGTCATACAGATGCTAATATTCGAATTAAATTCTTGATCAGATTTCTACTCATAAATTACTATTAAAAATCTTTTGCTTTTGCTCGAGCGTTATGATGGTTCTGTTTGTTAGGAACTCTACAGCAATTAGAAATTGTCGGTTACAAAATTAACAATTACCCTCTCCTTATAGGGTTACTAATGAGACCAAACGTGTGGATGTCAATTTGGTAAGTAACACTTATAATATAGTAAAGTGTCGAAAAACCGTCACTTTTTTATTTCGAATATTGTATTCCTGGTATAATTGTGGTAAGAATTATTATACAAATTAGATTAGGCTTATAATAAATTATTTCGATCGAAAAAATAAAGCAGAGTACAGGGCAATGTACGTTAATGCTACATTCAAACAACAGTAATCTTTTATTCTTGTTTATATCACAGCGAGAAAAAATAAGACATTAATAAGTAATAATAAAAGCATTTATCGGGTTTACCAGTCGTTTAACTTTGCAATAACATAATTATATTTTCTAATTATAATTCAAACCGTTGGCTAAAAAAACGTCGCAAGTTAACACAATTTTAACTCTGAAGCTAAACTTGATTATTCAAATGTTCACAGATTTTTATATCAACGTTTCCAGTTTATAATTTTTCTAATTATTAAATTACAAAGTTATTAAACTATTTATTGAAGTGCCAAAAAATATTTTCGTTGGTACTTTAACAGTGTAGTATAAAAAATATATATTGCTAAATTTGGGTATAAACCAAATTACCATAAAATACAGTAAGACTGTTAACATATAACGAAACCTATGAAGCTAGGATTAAAATCAACAAGACTTTAAACAAAGTAATAAACTAGTAGGAAAACTTGTGCAAGTTATTAACATTATATTGAACTTTGTGTACACAGTGCACTTATTATGTTGAAATTTATCTCCATTACGAACTGACGTATGTCAGATTCAAATAGGAAAGACATTAGTTAAATTGACTAAACTTTGAGCCGTGCAAGCTTTATACAAAGCTATACTCTAACTCCGTATAATACACACACTGGGCTGAGCTTAATATGTTCAAATGTAGTGATTAAATATTGAATATTGAGTATACCCGAAGAGCACCCTAACTGGCATGATTTATTTTCACATATTTGCATGACTTTACGGCCAATCTAGTATGATAAAACTTGTTTTGGCGACTGAATACATTAGCGATAGTCCTTCTATTGGTGTGGGAAACGTATCAGCGATACTAAATACCGTATTTCACCATTAATATTAAATCTGCTTAACATCAC